GAATGGTGACTTCACTTTCACCTACAGCTTCCTTCTCACCCCGAATGGTGACTTCACTTTCACCTACAGCTTCCTTCTCACCCCGAATGGTGACTTCACTTTCACCTACAGGCCTTCTCACCCCGAATGGGGACTTCACTTTCACCTACAGCTTCCTTCTCACCCCGAATGGTGACTTCACTTTCACCTAGAGGCTTCCTTCTCACCCCGAATGGGGACTTCACTTTCACCTACAGGTCTCCTCCTCACCCCGAATGGTGACTTCACTTTCACCTACAGCTTCCTTCTCACCCGAATGGTGACTTCACTTTCACCTACAGGCCTTCTCACCCCGAATGGGGACTTCACTTTCACCTACAGCTTCCTTCTCACCCCGAATGGTGACTTCACTTTCACCTAGAGGCTTCCTTCTCACCCCGAATGGGGACTTCACTTTCACCTACAGGTCTCCTCCTCACCCCGAATGGTGACTTCACTTTCACCTACAGCTTTCCTTCTCACCCCGAATGGTGACTTCACTTTCACCTACAGGTCTCCTCCTCACCCCGAATGGGGACTTCACTTTCACCTACAGCTTCCTTCTCACCCCGAATGGTGACTTCACTTTCACCTACAGGTCTCCTCCTCACCCCGAATGGTGACTTCACTTTCACCCACAGGCCTCCTTCTCACCCCGAATGGTGACTTCACTTTCACCTCCAGGCCTCTTCCTCACCCCGAATGGTGACTTCACTTTCACCTCCGCCTCTTCCTCACCCCGAATGGTGACTTCACTTTCACCTCCAGGCCTCTTCATCACCCCGAATGGTGACTTCACTTTCACCTACAGGCCTCCTTCTCACCCCGAGTGGTGACTTCACTTTCACCTACAGGCCTCCTTCTCACCCCGAGTGGTGACTTCACTTTCACCCACAGGCCTCCTTCTCACCCCGAATGGTGACTTCACTTTCACCTAGAGGCTTCCTTCTCACCCCGAATGGTGACTTCACTTTCACCTAGAGGCTTCCTTCTCACGCCGAATGGTGACTTCACTTTCACCTACAGGTCTCCTCCTCACCCCGAATGGTGACTTCACTTTCACCTACAGCTTCCTCCTCACCCCGAATGGGGACTTCACTTTCACCCACAGGCCTCCTTCTCACCCCGAATAGCGACTGGACAGTGAACGGAGAAGCAGCATGTTGGTGAGCTCAGCTCTCTCCTCCTATCAGCATGGCCTTTAGCCTATGAGCGCTCCATCACAGCCGATTGGATGCTTCTGCTGCTTCTCCTTCCAGTCTAAGCTCTGCTTTACAGGGGCTGCATGAGGCTAATGTCGGGTAAATTTAGGTGTATGTGTTTACCCCCCCCCCCCCATAATTATTTATTTGTTACTGCAACCAGCATATCAGTCGTAGGGGAGCGGGGTTCTGATGTTTCTCTGCTGCAGTTTCACCTTCATGTCCAAGTCTCCGCCCCGCTCTGTGACTGGTCATCACTGGGTCTCTGGGCTTCTCTATGCAATGCAGGCAGGATGGCTGGTGGGAGGGGGCTGTACATGGCTTCCTGAAAATATCACATCCCCCCTCCTCAGTACTCCTCTCAAGAGCCGTCAGTCCTGATGCAAGCAGTGGGAGGAGTTATGCAAATATAAAAACTCCTTGATGGGTGGGTGTCAGTCTGGATGAGTGGGGGCGGTCCTAGGGGGGGCTGTGTTTGCATAGGTAATGTCCACATGGGACTCCAAGCCTCCATGATTGCAAGAACTGCAATCCAATGAATGAAAGGGGCGAAACCAGGGACAGTTGGGCTGTGGAGGAAAGGAGTGGGGCCAGGGACAGGCAGCTGTGCAGGAAAGGGGCGGGGGCTGGGGAGGAAAGGGGCTGGGCATCCTGGGAAGGAAAGGGGCAGGCCAGGGACAGTTGGGCTGGGGAAGAAAGGGGTGGGGCCAGGGACAGTTGGGCTGGGGGAGGAAAGGGGCGGGGCTGGGGGAGGAAAGGGGCGGGGCTGGGGGAGGAAAGGGACAGGACTGGGCATCCTAGGAAGGAAAGGGGCAGGCCAGGGACAGTTGGGCTGGGGAAGAAAGGGGTGGGGCCAGGGACAGTTGGGCTGGGGGAGGAAAGGGGCGGGGTTGGGGGAGGAAAGGGGCGGGGTTGGGGGAGGAAAGGGGCGGGGTTGGGGGAGGAAAGGGGCGGGGTTGGGGGAGGAAAGGGGCAGGACTGGGCATCCTAGGAAGGAAAGGGGTGGGGCCAGGGACAGTTGGGCTGGGGGAGGAAAGGGATGGGACTGGGCATCCTGGCAAGGAAATGGGCGGGTTCCGGCCTCCTAGGGAGGAAAGGGGCAGGGCCAGGGACAGTCCTGCTATCGAACTGCCTGATTGGCTGACAGTCTCCTCCTCGTGGTCTCACCAGATCCCATCTTTTTTTTTTTTTTTTGCAGAAAGATCTGAATTATTTGCAGCAATGGCTGGAGGCGTTTGTGACCAACTTCGAGAAGATCATCTCCGTTCACACCCTGGAGCCCAGGAGGTGCGTTCCTCTGTCCATTCATGGCTTTCCTCGTTGTGGAAGGTTCCGGTCGGCGTGCCCTGAGCTGGTTTTCTCCTGCCTGTCTGCGGTCTGCGCTGTGACTGCAGACAATGACAGAGAACATGCAAAGCATTTGCTCCCTCCTGTCTGAGGAAATGTCGATCCCCTCGCTGCGCTGCACTCGTGTGCTCAGTGGAGATCGCAAACTGCGGAGCCATCAGCAGGGCTGCTGTTAGAAACCACGGGGCCCCAAATAGCCAACCTGACAGCTCCACCCCCCCCCCCCCCCCAAAAAAAAAAACAGTTTTCTATGCTTAAGTTATGAATGAACACAGTGAGCGATCAGTTCTGGTTGTTCATTGTGTTTGTTCAGGAAAGGAAAGGGGCTTGAAAATGTGACATTTACCGGACCCTTCCCCCGCTCTCCATCCTGAAGGATCCTATTGTGTGGCTGCAGCTGCCGCTGGGAAGGAGAGGGAAGCCGGTAGCACTGCGGGGGGCCTGGGCAGCAGGGGAAATGTATGGTGCAATTACTGGGACCGATCCCCTGTAGGGCTCTCCCTGCAGCAGCTGAAAGCCGGCTTCTTCTCTCCTCGCTCCCGATGGCTTTCAGCTGCTACAGGGAGAGCCATACAGGGCCCAGGCCAGCAGGGGGACCCAGGCAGCTGCATGAATCGGATGTGGGCAGGGAGGGTGATCACATGGCGGGCAATTGCTGGGACCGATCCCCTGTAGGGCTCTCCCTGTAGCAGCTGAAAGCCGGCTTCTTCTCTCCTCGCTCCCGATGGCTTTCAGCTGCTACAGGGAGAGCCATACAGGGCCCAGGCCAGCAGGGAGGCCAAAGCAGCTGAGTGAATCGGATGTGGGCAGGGGTGGTGATCGCATGGCGGGCAATTACTGGGACCGATCCCCTGTAGGGCTGTCCCTGTAGCAGCTGAAATCCGGCTTCTTCTCTCCTCCCTCCCGATGGCTTTCAGCTGCTGCAGGGAGAGCCCTACAGGGGATCGGTCCCAGTAATTGCACCATACATTTCCCGTGCTTCCCAGGCCTCCCGCAGTGCTACCGCCTTCCCAGCAGCAGCTGCAGCCACACAATAGGATCCTTCAGGATGGAGAATGTGGGCGGGGTCCGGTAAATGTCACATTTTCAAGACCTTTCCTGAATGAACACCGTGAATGATCAGAACTGATCACTCACTGTGTCACCGCCTGTACGGGGCCCAGGCCAGCAGTGGGGCCTAGGCAGCTGGGTGAATCGGATGTGGGCAGGGAGGGTGATCACACGGCGGGCAATCACTGGAACCGATCCCCTGTAGGGCTCTCCCTGTAGCAGCTGAAAGCCGGCTTCTTCTCTCCTCCCTCCCGATGGCTTTCAGCTGCTACAGGGAGAGCCCTACAGGGGATCGGTTCCAGTAATTGCCCGCCGTGCGATCACCCTCCCTGCCTGATTCACCCAGCTGCCTGGGCCCCCCTGCTGGCCGGGGCCCCGTACAGGTGGTGGCCCCCCCATGCCGCCCATTTTGAAAACCAGATCACGCATTTAGGGACCATCCACACATTGTAGTGACACTCTGCGACATGCATTTTTGCGTTTCAGTGCCAAGTGCGGTCCAAACGGCACCAAACCTCGCCACGCGCAGTGCAGCGCACTCCCAGTCGTGCCGCATAGGCCATTTTCGGCCCATTGGGATGCGTTGCGCAGCCTCTTCAGGCTCCCTGTACACTTGTGCGACTTTTGATGCGGCTCTACACCTTCCGGTACCCAAGCTGCATCACAGAAGGAACCTTTTCAAAGTGACTGAGACTCTTAAGTCGCATAGATCCGAACGGGCGCCATTGAAAACGGTGGGGCTGCGACCTGTCATGTGACTTTGCGTTCGCACAAGTGTGAGCGGAGCCTGAAATGCACGGCAGCACGGATCCTTGGAGGGACCCCTGAATTCTTAGGGGCCCATTCACACTACTGCGTTGCGGCAATGTATGCGTCCCCGCAATGCAGCATAGAGGCTTTGGCGCAGCGCGGTGCCATTCCTTATGAATTGCAGCACAGGAAACGCGATTTTGGTGCAGTCGGCTGCCTTCATGAAACGCACCGCACGGGTGTGAGCAAGCCCTTACTTGTCCCCCGTCCTGGTCCTCCGCCATGGGCTCCCTCTGCTGGACACTGGAGCTTCCTGCTTCCAGCAGTTTGTCCTCTCCGGTGACTACACGAGTGCAGTGCAGCCGGTGCAGCTGTAGATGCAGACAGTGACTTGGTGGCTTTGTTTACGTTCAGCTGGAAAATGTAAATAGAGCCCCATGTGACCCGGGCCAGGCCAGAGAGAAAGCAGAGGGCTTCATAAAGTTGACCCCGCCCCCCCTTCCCCATCCCCCCATCTGTGCTGTATTTAAAGGGCGAGCGCTGTCCTGTAGCGTGGAAAGTGATCCGTGTTCTTCCTTCTGTGCGTTTTATTTCTCCCTCCTCAGACCTGAAGATTCGTCCTCGGAGATCCCCGTCTTACCCCGCGATGTCCTCCAAGTCCTGAGCCAGCAGCTGGGTCACTGCGCCGAGGATTTAAAGGAGCACTCCACCCTGAACCAGGCACTCCTCCTCCTGAAATTCTTCATCATCATCAGCAGGTGAGACGCCATCATTTTATTACTCTCGACATCGACCTTCATCGATTGGCCAGACTTCACTTGTATCTGTGGGCGGGCATTGTGCAGATCTCTGCCGCCGTGCCCGGCTTTTGGATGGTGATGTCATAGTGATGTCATAGTTCTTCCTGTGGCCCCAGAGGGATCCGTATCACATGACCAGCATCACTGCTGTCATTGCCCATGTTGAGGCTCCTGCACAGCTTCTTCCCTGGAGGTCTGTGTGACAACAGGAAGTCTATCGATCGACTACTCATCAACCATAATGGGGTGCTATTCCTCCCACTGGCACCAATGATGGGGCACTATTCCTCCCACTGGCACCAATGATGGGGCACTATTCCTCCCACTGACACCAATGATGGGGCACTATTCCTCCCACTGACACCAATGATGGGGCACTATTCCTCCCACTGACACCAATGATGGGGCACTATTCCTCCCACTGACACCAATGATGGGGCACTATTCCTCCCACTGACACCAATGATGGGGCACTATTCCTCCCACTGACACCAATGATGGGACACTATTCCTCCCACTGACACCAATGATGGGGCACTATTCCTCCCACTGGCACCAATGATGGGACACTATTCCTCCCACTGATACCAATGATGGGGCACTATTCCTCCCACTGACACCAATGATGGGGCACTATTCCTCCCACTGACACCAATGATGGGGCACTATTCCTCCAACTGACACCAATGATGGGGCACTATTCCCCCCACTGACACCAATGATGGGGCACTATTCCCCCCACTGACACCAATGATGGGGCACTATTCCTCCCACTGACACCAATGATGGGGCACTATTCCTCCCACTGACACCAGTGATGGGGCACTATTCCTCCCACTGACACCAATGATGGGGCACTATTCCTCCCACTGACACCAATGATGGGGCGCTATTCCTCCCACTGACACCAAAGATGGGGTGCTATTCCTCCCACTGACACCAATGATGGGGCACTATTCCTCCCACTGACACCAATGATGGGGTACTATTCCTCCCACTGACACCAATGATGGGGCGCTATTCCTCCCACTGACACCAATGATGGGGCGCTATTCCTCCCACTGACACCAAAGATGGGGTGCTATTCCTCCCACTGACACCAATGATGGGGCGCTATTCCTCCCACTGACACCAATGATGGGGCGCTATTCCTCCCACTGACACCAATGATGGGGCGCTATTCCTCCCACTGACACCAATGATGGGGCACTATTCCTCCCACTGACACCAATGATGGGGCACTATTCCTCCCACTGACACCAATGAAGGGGCACTATTCCTCCCACTGACACCAATGATGGGGCACTATTCCTCCCACTGACACCAATGATGGGGACGCTATTCCTCCCACTGACACCAATGATGGGGCGCTATTCCTCCCACTGACACCAATGATGGGGCGCTATTCCTCCCACTGACACCAATGATGGGGCGCTATTCCTCCCACTGACACCAATGATGGGGCACTATTCCTCCCCCTGACACCAATGATGGGGCACTATTCCTCCCACTGACACCAATGATGGGGCACTATTCCTCCCACTGACACCAATAATGGGGCACCATTCCTCCCACTGACACCAATGATGGGGTACTATTCCTCCCACTGACACCAATGATGGGGCACTATTCCTCCCACTGACACCAATGATGGGGCACTATTCCTCCCACTGACACCAATGATGGGGTACTATTCCTCCCACTGACACCAATGATGGGGTACTATTCCTCCCACTGACACCAATGATGGGACACTATTCCTCCCACTGACACCAATGATGGGGTACTATTCCTCCCACTGACACCAATGATGGGGCACTATTCCTCCCACTGACACCAATGATGGGGCACTATTCCTCCCACTGACACCAATGATGGGGCACTATTCCTCCCACTGACACCAATGAAGGGACACTATTCCTCCCACTGACACCAATGAAGGGGCACTATTCCTCCCACTGACACCAACGATGGGGCACTATCCCCCCACTGACACCAACGATGGGGCACTATTCCCCCCACTGACACCAATGATGGGACACTATTCCTCCCACTGACACCAACGAAGGGGCACTATTCCCCCCACTGACACCAATGATGGGGCACTATTCCCCCCACTGACACCAATGATGGGGCACTATTCCCCCCACTGACACCAATGATGGGGCACTATTCCCCCCACTGACACCAATGATGGGGCACTATTCCCCCCACTGACACCAATGATGGGGCACTATTCCCCCCACTGACACCAATGATGGGGCGCTATTCCTCCCACTGACACCAGTGATGGGGCGCTATTCCTCCCACTGACACCAATGATGGGGCGCTATTCCTCCCACTGATACCAATGATGGGGCGCTATTCCTCCCACTGATACCAATGATGGGGCACTATTCCTCCCACTGACACCAATGATGGGGCACTATTCCTCCCACTGACACCAAAGATGGGGCGCTATTCCTCCCACTGACACCAATGATGGGGCGCTATTCCTCCCACTGACACCAATGATCAGTGTATTCAGATATTACCTTGTAGTTGTAGCACTGACTGTGCTGTACAGACACTGTGCATAGAGCACAGCTTTGGGAGGGGCCTAGCAAGCCCCACCCACTACAGGAATACTACAGAAGGGGGCGGAGCTGAGACAGCACCCCCTCATCCCCCCTCACCCCCCCCCCCCCCCGCAGAAGCAGAGGGGGCAGCAGTGAGCTGCTCCACAGATCTGGAAGAAACGTGCAAAGATCTCTGATGAAGAAAAATGGGAAATTGTATCGAATACCTGGTGGAATTTTCCTTTCCTGGCGCCAATCCGCGGCAGAATACGTGTGATGGCGCGCCGCCATGTTGGCGCCAGGAAAAGTCGTTTTTGTACGTTTTTACTAAATGTCAATATTTAGCGCTTATATGTTCATGTTGGCGCACCGAGATTCCAGGAAGAATGCAGTTTTTTTTTTTTTTTTTTTTTTTTTTTTTTTTCATTCCGTGAAATTATTTATTTATTTTTTCTTCATTCCATAAAATAACTTGTTTTTTGGGGGTTTTTTTTTTGTTTTTTTTTAATTCCATAAAGTAACTTTTTTTTGTTACAAAATGTATACCAGGCAGCGTTGTTCTCCTCCTGCGGCCCCGAGGGGTTAATGGAGCGCCGAGGCGATGGTGGGCTGAATCTGCCTATAAATAGGACGGTTACATAATCACACCGGAGACGTTTGTGGGGGAGTCGGATGAGTTCCTCGCTGCTTGGGGGTCCGGACGCGGCAGTTGCCGTGGAAACCGGCCTCATCCTCGCAGCGTGGAGACGAGTGAAGACCACCGTGGTGTCACTAGGATGGCCAAAGAATTGTCAAATGAAAGGCTGGCTGGCGGGGGGGGAGGGGGTTAGGATTTGGGGTGGGGGGGGGGGGGGGTTAGGATTTGGGATTTGGGGGGGGGGGGGGGGGGGGAGGGGGTAGCAGATGTCTTCATGTAACAATGTAACTTTTTTTTTTCCTCACCTGTCACCAGATCCTTTGTTTCCGCAACATCCTTCCTGGAAGATTTTCTGTGTTTTATTCCGGTTATTTACCTGCTAGAGCCTCCCTGGTGTAGCCGTCCAATAGCCTGAGACTGCTGCTGGGAACCGCCATCGTGGATGTGATGTCAGCAGACTCGGTGGTGTCATGTGACACCCTATAGCGTGGGCTCCCAACCTCCATGACTGAAAGAACTGAGATCCAATGGGGGGGGGGGGGGACTATGAGGCTGAAGAGGACAGGGCCAGATCAGTGATCTCCAACATGCGGACCTTGGACCAGATAGGGTAGTGTTCTTCCCACTGACACCAATGATGGGGCACTATTCCTCCCACTGACACCAAGGATGACTATTCCTCCCACTGACACCAATGATGGGGCACTATTCCTCCCACTGACACACCAATGATGGGGCACTATTCCTCCCACTGACACCAATGATGGGGCACTGTTCCTCCCACTGACACCAATGATGGGGCACTGTTCCTCCCACTGATACCAATGATGGGGCACTGTTCCTCCCACTGACACCAATGATGGGGCACTATTCCTCCCACTGACACCAATGATGGGGCACTGCTCCTCCCACTGACACCAATGATGGGGCACTGTTCCTCCCACTGACACCAATGATGGGGCACTATTCCTCCCACTGACACCAATGACGGGGCACTATTCCTCCCACTGACACCAATGATGGGGCACTATTCCTCCCACTGACACCAATGACGGGGCACTGTTCCTCCCACTGACACCAATGACGGGGCACTGTTCCTCCCACTGACACCAATGATGGGGCACTGTTCCTCCCACTGATACCAATGATGGGGCACTGTTCCTCCCACTGACACCAATGATGGGGCACTATTCCTCCCACTGACACCAATGATGGGGCACTGCTCCTCCCACTGACACCAATGATGGGGCACTATTCCTCCCACTGACACCAATGATGGGGCACTATTCCTCCCACTGACACCAATGACGGGGCACTATTCCTCCCACTGACACCAATGATGGGGCACTATTCCTCCCACTGACACCAATGACGGGGCACTGTTCCTCCCACTGACACCAATGATGGGGCACTGTTCCTCCCACTGACACCAATGACGGGGCACTGTTCCTCCCACTGATACCAATGATGAGGCACTATTCCTCCCACTGACACCAATGATGGGGCACTATTCCTCCCACTGATACCAATGATGGGGCACTATTCCTCCCACTGACACCAATGATGGGGCACTATTCCTCCCACTGACACCAATGATGGGGCACTGTTCCTCCCACTGATACCAATGATGAGGCACTATTCCTCCCACTGACACCAATGATGGGGCACTATTCCTCCCACTGATACCAATGATGAGGCACTATTCCTCCCACTGACACCAATGATGGGGCACTATTCCTCCCACTGACACCAATGATGGGGCACTATTCCTCCCACTGACACCAATGATGAGGCACTATTCTTCCCACTGACACCAATGATGGGGCACTATTCCTCCCACTGACACCAATGATGGGGCACTATTCCTCCCACTGACACCAATGATGGGGCACTATTCCTCCCACTGACACCAATGATGGGGCACTATTCCTCCCACTGACACCAATGATGGGGCACTATTCCTCCCACTGACACCAATGATGGGGCACTGTTCCTCCCACTGACACCAATGATGGGGCACTGTTCCTCCCACTGACACCAATGATGGGGCACTGTTCCTCCCACTGACACCAATGATGGGGCACTGTTCCTCCCACTGATACCAATGATGGGGCACTGTTCCTCCCACTGACACCAATGATGGGGCACTATTCCTCCCACTGACACCAATGATGGGGCACTGCTCCTCCCACTGACACCAATGATGGGGCACTATTCCTCCCACTGACACCAATGATGGGGCACTATTCCTCCCACTGACACCAATGACGGGGCACTATTCCTCCCACTGACACCAATGATGGGGCACTGTTCCTCCCACTGACACCAATGATGGGGCACTGTTCCTCCCACTGACACCAATGATGGGGCACTGTTCCTCCCACTGACACCAATGATGGGGCACTGTTCCTCCCACTGATACCAATGATGGGGCACTGTTCCTCCCACTGACACCAATGATGGGGCACTATTCCTCCCACTGACACCAATGATGGGGCACTGCTCCTCCCACTGACACCAATGATGGGGCACTATTCCTCCCACTGACACCAATGATGGGGCACTATTCCTCCCACTGACACCAATGACGGGGCACTATTCCTCCCACTGACACCAATGATGGGGCACTATTCCTCCCACTGATACCAATGATGGGGCACTATTCCTCCCACTGATACCAATGATGGGGCACTATTCCTCCCACTGATACCAATGATGGGGCACTATTCCTCCCACTGATACCAGTGATGGGGTACTATTCCTCCCACTGACACCACTGATGAGGCACTATTCCTCCCACTGACACCAATGATGGGGCACTATTCCTCCCACTGATACCAATGATGGGGCACTATTCCTCCCACTGATACCAATGATGAGGCACTATTCCTCCCACTGACACCAATGATGGGGCACTATTCCTCCCACTGACACCAATGATGGGGCACTATTCCTCCCACTGACACCAATGATGAGGCACTATTCCTCCCACTGACACCAATGATGGGGCACTATTCCTCCCACTGACACCAATGATGGGGCACTATTCCCCCACTGACACCAATGACGGGGCACCTGTGTAAGACAGGAGGGGAGGCCGGTGTCACATCGCCTACACGATGATTTTCTTTTTTTTCCTTTTGTTTCATTTATTTTACACCTTATTACGCCTCTTTTGACACCAATGATGAGGCACTATTTGACACCAATGGATGGGGCTATTTCCCACACTGACACCAATGATGGGGGGGGGGGGTGGGGCCTGACAGCACCTTGTAAGACAGGAGGGAGCCCGGTGTCACATCGCCTAGCACGACTCTTTTTTTCTTTTTTTTTCTTTTGTTTCATTTATTTTACACCTTATTCCTTTTGATGAGCTTTTCATTCACCTGATCATATTCCTGAGAGGCCCCCAGATTGGTGATTTCGGGGGAAATGATGAATTGGATGGGTTCAGAATAGGTTTGGAAATTCCCGTTTCTGGCAGTTGGTGCCGCGTTCAGTCCCCGTGGAAAGTCCCCATTTATAAATATCGTTTTGTTTCCTGGAAATTTGATTCATTTAAATAATATTAGAAGCTCTGTGTCCAAACAGGCTAGAGAAGAAACCCCCCAACCCCCGCCTGTAAGATCCCCCCCCCCGATACAGTGCAATGGGCAAAAGATAGATATATATACACCCAAGAAGGAAAATGTCCTGTTGGCCTAAATTGGACATTACTGGTCCCAAGATGTGACTGCGTCGTGTTTTTTTACCTGGTGATCCTGCCAGTAACATGATTTGCGTCCACCTTCCTTACCAGACCCGGTGACCTTCGCTTCATCGAGGTCTAGAATGGCTCTTCTCCACGCTGCGCATGCGTGCCGCGGCCCCATTCATTCCTTTTGGATATGCCGAACTCTGAGGGACCACTGGAGGCCACCATGGATGTGGCGCCATTCCTCCCACTGACACCATGGATGTCGCGCCATTCCTCCCACTGACACCATGGATGTGGCGCCATTCCTCCCACTGACACCATGGATGTGGCGCCATTCCTCCCACTGACACCATGGATGTGGCGCATTCATAGGAATGATTGAGGCTGTGCCTGTGAAGTATGAATAGGGCCATCATGGGTCCCTGGAGAAAGTAAAGCACTGGGGCCCCTACCAGCCTGCATCAGATGTTCCCATCGTAGCTCCCCCTTAGATCGGGTGTCCCCTTCAGAGTCCACATCACAGAGTCCCCACCCGCTAGGTGTCCCCCATCACAGAGTCCCCACGCCCGCTAGGTGTCCCCCATCACAAGGTCCCCACCCGCTAGGTGTCCCCCATCACAGAGTCCCCACCCGCTAGGTGTCCCCCATCACAGAGTCCCCACCCGCTAGGTGTCCTCCATCACAGAGTCCCCACCCGCTAGGTGTCCCCCATCACAGAGTCCCCACCCGCTAGGTGTCCCCCCATCACAGAGTCCCCACCCGCTAGGGGTCCCCCATCACAGTGCCCCCCTATATTGGGTTTTCCCCCCTATATCGGGTTTCCCCATCACAGTGGTCCCCCTATATCAGGTGTCCCCCCTATATCGGGTGTCCCCATCACAGTACCCCCCATACATCGGGTGTCCCCGTATATCGGGTGTCCCCATACATCAGGTGTCCCCATCACAGTGCCCATATACATCAGGTGTCCCCATCACAATGTCCCCATACATCAGGTGTCCCCATCACAGTGCCCATATACATCAGGTGTCCCCATCACAATGTCCCCCTATATCAGGTGTCCCCCTACATCAGATGTTCCTATAACAGTGTCCCCATCCATACATCAGGTGTCCCCATCACAGTGCCCATATACATCAGGTGTCCCCATCACAATGTCCCCCTATATCAGGTGTCCCCATACATCAGATGTTCCTATAACAGTGTCCCCATCCATACATCAGGTGTCCCCATCACTGTGCCCATATACATCAGGTGTCCCCATCACAGTGCCCATATACATCAGTTGTCCCCATCAGTGTCCCCCTATATCAGGTGTCCCCATCACAGTGTCCCCCTATATCAGGTGTCCCCATACATCAGGATCCCCTATCACAGTGCCCCTTACAGTCAGAGCTGTGCCCCGCAGTGAACAGGATCCCGGTGTGTCGGTGACCTTTCCCGTTCGAACATCTTCGGTTTCCAGCCATTCTCAGGAGCGCGTGCGTTGGGAATATTGTGCTTGGATTTTTAATAGACAAGGAGCATGCTGAGAGGAGGAGAGAGCAGAGTGGGGGAAAAAAAGAACTCCTCAATTTGCCGCTTCTCCTTTCACTGCCCAGTCTCAAGCTTAGGGGTGGGTCCATGACAACCTGGGCTCAGAGGAAGTAGTGAGTGGGTCCATGACAGCCTGGGCTCAGGAAGTAGTGGGTGGGTCCATGACAGCCTTGGCTCAGAGGAAGTAGTGGGTCGGTCTATGACAGCCTGGGCTCAGAGGAAGTAGTGGATGGGTCCATGACTGCCTGGGCTCAGAGGAAGTAGTGGATGGGTCCATGACAGCCTGGGCTCAGAGGAAGTAGTGGGTCGGTCTATGACAGCCTGGGCTCAGAGGAAGTAGTGGGTGGGTCCATGACAGCCTGGGCTCAGAGGAAGTAGCCGAATGATGCTTTCAGCCTGGAAGAGTGAGCATGCACCATACGGCTCGGTGCAGCACAATTTTTGAAAAGGGGTCCGGGGCCCCTTTCCTGAGCTTGTCGCTCAAAAGCGAATGGGCTGCCCTACAGACGATTCACGGGAACACTTACCCCCCTCATGGTATGAATGGTCACCCGTGGCTGTGTCTATGGCCACCTACCTGGGGTAGTCCTCCATGACTGACCTGGTCCTTGTCCATCTTGCAGGAATCTGGAGAATGTAGAGAAGGAGAAGACGCCAGTTTTCGTCAGCGAGGTGATCCGTCTTCTGACCGCGTCTGCTATAAAGGTGAGCCCCTCCCATCCGCTCGCTGCACCAATGAGAGACGACCAGTCCTATAGGGAAGCGCCCCATTGGCCCGCAGATGAACACCTTCTGAAATCACCATCTGGCTGCCTGTCCTGAAACAAGCCGGTCAGATCCTGATCCGGTACGGCTTCGGACCACTCCACAATGATCCCATGGGGTGATCTGCGGGTGGAAAGTCCTCACAGAAGGGAAAGTCCCTGACTCCTTCATAACTCCCCCCCCCCCCCCCCAAAAAAAAAAACAAAAAAAATTAAACCCCCCCCCCAAAAAAAATACCTGCTGCACCGAAATCCATGGTGCTGTGCTGTGGCACCATGCGGTTTGGTCTCTGCGTTTGTAGATGCACGGGGGTTCCGTTCACGATTAGGCTAGGTTCAGACCTTTGCATGATGGGAATGTGCGCAAAATTCCCAAACGCGTTGCATGAATTGTTAGTGGCGCCACCGCGTGTCTGCAAGCATGTGCGCCGTACCGCGGTTTTGGAAAAGAACCAATGAATTCTTTTCCACGTTCCTCACGTGTAGGGCAACTCAATGCGATTAATAGGCTGCCCTCTAGGGGAAGGCGAGAGAAATGCGTGGAAATGCGCCGGCACCTGTAGGCACGAAGCAAGCCTTAACCCCTTCCAGTCCGGACACCCCCCCCCCTCTTCATGTTTGGACACTTCCCCCCCCCCCCCCCCCCCCTTCCAGTCCAGACACTTCCCCCCCCTTCCAGTCCGGACACTTTCCCCCCTTCCAGTCCGGACACTTTCCCCCCCTTCCAGTCCGGACACTTTCCCCCCCTTCCAGTCCGGACACTTTCCCCCCCCTTCCAGTCCGGACACTTTTCCTTTCCCCCCCCCCCCAGTCCGGACACTTTCCCCCCCCCCCCCAGTCCGGACACTTTCCCCCCCCCCCTTCCAGTCCGGACACTTTCCCCCCCCCTTCCAGTCCGGACACTTTCCCCCCCCCCCCTTCCAGTCCGGACACTTTCCCTTTTCCGGACACTTCCCCCCCCCCCCCTTCCAGTCCGGACACTTCCCCCCCCCCCCTTCCAGTCCGGACACTTCCCCCCCCCCCCCCTTCCAGTCCGGACACTTCCCCCCCCCCCCTTCCAGTCCGGACACTTTCCTCCCCCCCCCCCCTTTCCCCCCCTTCCAGTCCGGACACTTTCCCCCCCACCCCTTCCGGACACTTTCCCCCCCCCCCTTTCCAGTCCGGACACTTTCCCCCCCCCCCTTCCAGTCCGGACACTTTCCCCCCCCCCCCCTTCCAGTCCGTCGGACACTTTCCCCCCCTTCCAGTCCGGACACTTTCCCCCCCTTCCAGTCCGGACACTTTCCCCCCCTTCCAGTCCGGACACTTTTTCCCCCCCTTCCAGTCCGGACACTTTCCCCCCCTTCCAGTCCGGACACTTTTCCCCCCCTTCCAGTCCGGACACTTTCCCCCCCTTCCAGTCCGGACACTTTCCCCCCCTTCCAGTCCGGACACTTTCCCCCCCCTTCCAGTCCGGACACTTTCCCCCCCTTCCAGTCCGGACACTTTTCCCCCCCTTCCAGTCCGGACACTTCCCCCCCCCCCCCCCCTTCCAGTCCGGACACTCCCCCCCCCTCTTCATGTCTGGACACTTTCCCCCCCCTTCCAGTCCGGACACTTTCCCCCCCTTCCAGTCCGGACACTTTCCCCCCCCCCTCCAGTCCGGACACTTTCCCCCCCTTCCAGTCCGGACACTTTCCCCCCCTTCCAGTCCGGACACTTTCCCCCCCTTCCAGTCCGGACACTTTCCCCCCCTTCCAGTCCGGACACTTTCCCCCCCTTCCAGTCCGGACACTTTTCCCCCCCTTCCAGTCCGGACACTTTCCCCCCCTTCCAGTCCGGACACTTTCCCCCCCTTCCAGTCCGGACACTTTCCCCCCCTTCCAGTCCGGACACTTTCCCCCCCTTCCAGTCCGGACACTTTCCCCCCCTTCCAGTCCGGACACTTTCCCCCCCTTCCAGTCCGGACACTTCCCCCCCCCTTCCAGTCTGGACACTTCCCCCCCCCCTTCCAGTCTGGACACTTCCCCCCCCCCCCCTTCCAGTCCGGACACCCCCCCCCCCCTCTTCATGTCTGGACACTTTCCCCCCCTTCCAGTCCGGACACTCCCCCCCCCCTCTTCATGTCTGGACACTTTCCCCCCCTTCCAGTCCGGACACTTTCCCCCCCTTCCAGTCCGGACACTTTCCCCCCCTTCCAGTCCGGACACTTTCCCCCCCTTCCAGTCCGGACACTTTCCCCCCCTTCCAGTCCGGACACTTCCCCCCCCCCTTCCAGTCTGGACACTTCCCCCCCCCCCTTCCAGTCTGGACACTTCCCCCCCCCCCTTCCAGTCCGGACACTCCCCCCCCCCCTCTTCATGTCTGGACACTTTCCCCCCCTTCCAGTCCGGACACTTTCCCCCCCTTCCAGTCCGGACACTTTCCCCCCCTTCCAGTCCGGACACTTTTCCCCCCCTTCCAGTCCGGACACTTTCCGCGCCCCCCCCCCCTTCCAGTCCGGACACTTTCCCCCCCTTCCAGTCCGGACACTTTCCCCCCCTTCCAGTCCGGACACTTTCCCCCCCTTCCAGTCCGACACTTTCCCCCCCTTCCAGTCCGGACACTTTCCCCCCCCCTTCCAGTCCGGACACTTTCCCCCCCTTCCAGTCCGGACACTTTCTTCCCCCCCCCCCCTTCCAGTCCGGACACTTTCCCCCCCCCCCTTCCAGTCCGGACACTTTCCCCCCCCCCCCCCCTTCCAGTCCGGACACTTTCCCCCCCCCCCCTTCCAGTCCGGACACTTTCCCCCCCCCCCCCCTTCCAGTCCCGGACACTCCCCCCCCCTCTTCATGTCCGGACACTCCCCCCCCCTCCCAGTCCGGACACTTTCCCCCCTTTCCAGTCCGGACACTTTCCCCCCCTTCCAGTCCGGACACTTTCCCCCCCCTTCCAGTCCGGACACTTTCCCCCCCTTCCAGTCCGGACACTTTCCCCCCCTTCCAGTCCGGACACTTTCCCCCCCTTCCAGTCCGGACACTTTCCCCCCCTTCCAGTCCGGACACTTTCCCCCCCTTCCAGTCCGGACACTTTCCCCCCCTTCCAGTCCGGACACTTTCCCCCCCCTTCCAGTCCGGACACTTCCCCCCCCCTTCCAGTCCGGACACTTCCCCCCCCCTTCCAGTCCGGACACTTCCCCCCCCCCCTTCCAGTCCGGACACTTCGCCCCCCCTCTTCATGTCTGGACACTTTCCCCCCCCTTCCAGTCCGGACACTTTCCCCCCCTTCCAGTCCGGACACTTTCCCCCCCTTCCAGTCCGGACACTTTCCCCCCCTTCCAGTCCGGACACTTTCCCCCCCTTCCAGTCCGGACACTTTCCCCCCCTTCCAGTCCGGACACTCCCCCCCCCCCCCTTCCACCCCTTCCAGTCCGGACACTTCCCCCCTACCCCCCCTTCTTCCCCCCCCCCCCCCCCCCTTCCAGTCCGGACACTTTCCCCCCCCCCCCCTTCCAGTCCGGACACTTCCCCCCCCCCCCCCCCCCCCTTCCAGTCCGGACACTTTCCCCCCCCCCCCCTTCCAGTCCGGACACTTCCCCCCCCCCCCTTCCAGTCCGGACACTTCCCACCCCCCCCCCCCCCCCCCCCTTCCAGTCCGGACACTTTCCCCCCCCCCCTTCCAGTCCGGACACTTTCCCCCCCCCCCCCCCCCTTCCAGTCCGGACACTTTCCCCCCCCCCCTTCCAGTCCGGATACTTCCCCCCCCTTCCAGTCCGGACACTTTCCCCCCCCCCCTTCCAGTCTGGACACTCCCCCCCCCCCCCCCCCCCCTTCCAGTCCGGACTCTCCCCCCCCCCCCCCCCCCCCCCCCCCTTCCAGTCCAGGCCAATTTTCAGCTTTCAGCGCTATCACACTTTGAATGACAATTGCGCGGTCATGCAACACTGTACCCATATGAAATTTTTTGCATTTTTTTGAGACAGATAAAGCTTTATTTTGGGGGTATTTATTCACCGCTGGGATTTTTATTTTTTTTTTGATATATAAATGAAAAAGTCCAAAAATTTTGAAAAAAGTGTTTTTCTTATAAAATTTTGCAATTAAATAATATTTCATCATAAATCTCGGCCAAAATGTATTCCGTTATCTTTTTAGTAAAAAAAAAATAACCCAAATTAATTTATAACCAAAAATTATAATTTAAACATTTTTTTTACATCTTTATGTATTTTTAATTGTTTTTTTTGTTTTTTTTTTTTTTCTTTACATACTATCACCCTAGCAGTACAGTCACCATGGTGACACTGTACTACTTGTGGGGGGTGATAAAGATTTTTTTTTTTTTTGTACACCGATTGCTTTTACACCCATAAAGGCTGTAAAAGCAATCATTTCTCCTTCTCTCTGTCTGCATTCTTGCAGTCATTGAGAACTACTGTGTGAGCTGTGATTGGTCACAGCTTGTCACATGGTACAAGGCTGGTGTGAATAGCCCTGTACCATGTGATCTTTGTGATCATTCACAGATTTCACACGTAGTAAGCAATGATGTCAGAAGTGACATCTTGCTTACTACTCTGCATGTGATCACTGATTGGCCAATCAGTGATCACATGATCGGAACCTCACACAGAGGTCCCGTCCGACGATCGGTGTTCGGAGGACACAGCGGGCACCAGATTGCAGTGCTGCGCACTCCCAGGGAGCGTGCACAGCTTGAAAATGCGTGTGCCATTTATGAACGTCAACCCGCCCCTGCACTGCCACCGTCCTGCCGTTTATAAACAGCGGCCGGACAAGAAGTGGTTAATGGCACGCTAAAGCACAGGATGTTTCAGAAAGCGTGCGATTTTTGTGCACTTTCCCAGCATACAAAGGTCTGAGCCTAGCCTGAGAGCTGCGAATATGGAGCGTAAATAAAAAAAAAAAATGATCAGCTTAATTATTTACCCGTTATTGACAAAAAAGAGTAATCCGCGCTGCGGGGCTGTGTGAGCGCGCTGCGGGGCTGTGTGAGCGCGCTGCGGGGCTGTGTGAGCGCGCTGCGGGGCTGTGTGAGCGCGCTGCGGGGCTGTGTGAGCGCGCTACGGGGCTGTGTGAGCGCGCTGCGGGGCTGTGTGAGCGCGCTACGGGGCTGTGTGAGCGCGCTGCGGGGCTGTGTGAGCGCGCTGCGGGGCTGTGTGAGCGCGCTGCGGGGCTGTGTGAGCGCGCTGCGGGGCTGTGTGAGCGCGCTGCGGGGCTGTACGAGCGCGCTGTGGGAGCGCTCTGCGGGGCTGTGGGAGCGCGCTGCGGGGCTGTGTGAGCGCGCTGCGGGGCTGTGTGAGCGCGCTGCGGGGCTGTTGGAGCGCGCTGCGGGGCTGTGTGAGCGCGCTGCGGGGCTGTGTGAGCGCGCTGCGGGGCTGTGTGAGCGCGCTGCGGGGCTGTGGGAGCGCGCTGCGGGGCTGTTCGAGCGCGCTGCGGGGCTGTTCGAGCGCGCTGCGGGGCTGTGTGTCCGTTGCGATTAAGTCTTCTTTTTTGTAGTTGAAAAGCCCAGCAGATGAGGACCACGAGGAGCTGTGGTCCCTGACGGAGAAGGTCACCATCTACGCGCTGCACCTGTGCGAATGTCTCTTCGATCCCTACCAGACGTGGCGCAGACAGCTCGGAGGGTACGGAGTCAAGTGAAATATGACTTTTTTTTTTTTTTTCCCCTAAAACATTTTTTTTACGGTCCCTAAAGTTTCCATTCTAGAGTCTCAAACACATACAATTAATGATCCGCAATACAGATGATCTACAGTCCCTACAACATCTGATCTATGGTCCCTAAAATATCCAATCTAGAGGCCCTCGGGCGCCGCGTTTGGACTGCCCTCGGGCGCCGCGTTTGGACTGCCCTCGGGCGCCGCGTTTGGACTGCCCTCGGGCGCCGCGTTTGGACTGCCCTCGGGCGCCGCGTTTGGACTGCCCTCGGGCGCCGCGTTTGGACTGCCCTCGGGCGCCGCGTTTTTGAGTCCCCTCACGCATCCCCTTTTATTGCCCCTCAGACACTGCATTTTGTTGCCCCTCGAGCGTCCCCTTTTGTTGCCCCTCGAGCGTCCCCTTTTGTTGCCCCTCGAGCGTCCCCTTTTGTTGCCCCTCGAGCGTCCCCTTTTGTGGCCCCTCGAGCGTCCCCTTTTGTGGCCCCTCGAGCGTCCCCTTTTGTGGCCCCTCGAGCGTCCCCTTTTGTGGCCCCTCGAGCGTCCCCTTTTGTGGCCCCTCGAGCGTCCCCTTTTGTGCCCCTCGAGCGTCCCCTTTTGTTGCCCCTCGAGAGTCCCCTTTTGTTGCCCCTCGAGAGTCCCCTTTTGTTGCCCCTCGAGCGTCCCCTTTTGTGGCCCCTCGAGCGTCCCCTTTTGTGGCCCCTCGAGCGTCCCCTTTTGTGGCCCCTCGAGCGTCCCCTTTTGTGGCCCCTCGAGCGTCCCCTTTTGTTGCCCCTCGAGCGTCCCCTTTTGTTGCCCCTCGAGCGTCCCCTTTTGTTGCCCCTCGAGCGTCCCCTTTTGTTGCCCCTCGAGCGTCCCCTTTTGTTGCCCCTCGAGCGTCCCCTTTTGTTGCCCCTCGAGCGTCCCCTTTTGTTGCCCCTCGAGCGTCCCCTTTTGTTGCCCCTCGAGCGTCCCCTTTTGTTGCCCCTCGAGCATCCCCTATTGCTGTCCCTCAGACACCCCCTTTTGTTGCCCCCCATGCTTCCCCTTTTGTTGCCCCTCGAGCGTCCCCTTTTGTTGCCCCTCGAGCGTCCCCTATTGCTGTCCCTCAGACACCCCCTTTTGTTGCCCCCCATGCATCCCCTATTGTTGCCCCTCAAGCGTCCCCTTTTTGTTGTCCATCTTCAATCTTTTATACTTTCCACCTTCAGTCCTTAATATCATATGTACAATCTGGAGTGACACCAGATCCCCCCCCCCACCATTCACTGTAACCTTCTTCTGTTTTCTGCTCTTCAGGGAAATTGTAAGTGCAAAAGAAAAGAGTAAATACAAGTTTTCCCCGGCCGCCCTGCCCCCGGAATTCTGCACCTTCTTCCAAGGTAACCAGCGCCAAGCTACCCAATCGTAAGCTCCGCTACATTCCTGTCTGGGCGTGGCAGCGAGTGACGCCTGAAGTTCTTTTAAAAAGTCAGAATTGCAAAAGCATATGTAGCCGAATGTAATTACTTTTTGTTAGATTCTATATTTCTGATATCTATTTCTCCTGGGGGGTCTAATGTGTCTTTATTGGCCTTCTGACCCTTGTACATTCGCCGTGCTCGGTGTCCAGCTGATGGGTACCTTCCTATTCTGTAGTGTAGCCACTCTTTCAGAAGGTGTCCCCACAACTGTACGAGTTATGGACCATGAATTGGGGTTCAGAGTTTGGGATGTATGAAGGTTCAGCTTCAAAAGGTCAAAAAGGAGATAAGTACACTCAACGGCCACTTTATTAGGTCCACCTTTTGCCTTCAGAACGGCCTTCATTCTTCGTGGCAAAGATTCAACAAGGTGTAGGAAACGTTCCTCAGAGATTTTGGTCCATGTTGACATGATAGCATCACGCAGTTGCTGCAGATTTGTCGGCTGCACATCCATGATGGGAATCTCCCGTTCCACCACATCCCAAAGGATCTCTATTGGATGGAGATCTGGTGACTGTGGAGGCCATTGGAGTCCAGTGACCTCATTGTCATGTTCCAGAAACCAGTTGGAGATGATGTGATCTTTGTGACATGGAGCATTATCCTGCTAGAAGGAGTCATCAGAAGATGGGGACACTGGAGTCATCAAGGGATGGACATGGTCAGCAACAATACTCGGGTAGGCCGTGGCGTTTAAACGATGCTCAATTGGTACTAAGGGGCCCAAAGTGTGCCAAGAAAATCTCCCCCAGACCATGACACCACCACTACCAGCCTGAACCGTTGATACAAGGCAGGATGGATCCACCACACCATGACACCACCACCACCAGCCTGAACCATTGATACAAGGCAGGATGGATCCACCACACCATGACACCACCACCACCAGCCTGAACCATTGATACAAGGCAGGATGGATCCACCACACCATGACACCACCACCACCAGCCTGAACCATTGATACAAGGCAGGATGGATCCACCACACCATGACACCACCACCACCAGCCTGAACAGTTGATACAAGGCAGGATATGATCCACCACACCATGACACCACCACCACCAGCCTGAACCGTTGATACAAGGCAGGATGGATCCACCGCACCATGACACCACCACCACCAGCCTGAACTGTTGATACAAGGCAGGATGGATCCACCACACCATGACACCACCAGCCTGAACCGTTGATACAAGGCAGGATGGATCCACCACACCATGACACCACCACCACCAGCCTGAACTGTTGATACAAGGCAGGATGGATCCACCACACCATGACACCACCAGCCTGAACCGTTGATACAAGGCAGGATGGATCCACCATACCATGACACTACCAGCCTGAACCATTGATACAAGGCAGGATGGATCCACCTCACCATGACACCACCACCACCAGCCTGAACCATTGATACAGGGCAGGATGGATCTAACACACCATGACACCACCACCAGCAGCCTGAACAGTTGATACAGGGCAGGATGGATCTAACACACCATGACACCACCACCAGCAGCCTGAACCGTTGATACAAGGCAGAATGGATCCACCTCACCATGACACCATCACCAGCAGCCTGAACCGTTGATACAGGTCAGAATGGATCCACCACACCATGACACCACCACCACCAGCCTGAACCGTTGATACAGGGCAGGATGGATCCACCACACCATGACACCACCAATATGACCAGGTGGACCTAATAAATTGGCTGTAGAGTGTATTAAGGAGCTAAATCTATTTAAGGCAGTCCCATGTATGACCAGGCCTCCTCTGCAGTGCCATTTATGACCAGGCCTCCTCAGCAGTGCCATTTATGACCAGGCCTTCTCAGCAGTTTCATTTATGACCAGGCCTCCTCAGCAGTGCCATTTATGACCAGGCCTCCTCAGCAGTGCCATTTATGACCAGGCTTCCTCTGCAGTGCCATTTATGACCAGGCCTCCTCAGCAGTGCCATTTATGACCAGGCCTCCTCTGCAGTGCCATTTATGACCAGGCCTCCTCTGCAGTGCCATTTATGACCAGGCCTCCTCTGCAGTGCCATTTATGACCAGGCTTCCTCTGCAGTGCCATTTATGACCAGGCCTCCTCAGCAGTGCCATTTATGACCAGGCCTCCTCTGCAGTGCCATTTATGACCAGGCCTCCTCTGCAGTGCCATTTATGACCAGGCCTCGTTAGCAGTCCTTTGAAGACCCTACTAAGTAACATTTATTATGCTTCTTGCTTGCTGTCTGTCAGATGTGTTCATAAATGGGACTGTGGTTTGTCAAACATGTCACCTTCCTTGGCTGCCCAACCTAGACATGAGGTTCAAATCTGTTTTTTGTTGCCAGTTAGTGACTTTTGGGGGAAAATGCGGGTGGCAAGGTGTTTAGGACGACATTCCTATCCTCCTCACATAGTTCAAGGTTCATCAGACCTCAACCTATCTTGGTTGTCTTTCCTTCTAGATGCCTTCCACAACGGGGACAGCCTGCCAGAAATGGTCAAACTGCGCCTGGTCCACCTGTACGGTGCCATCATTACCGGCTATAAGGTGAGCAGAGGTGGACTTGCATGGGGGGGGGGTTTATTTTAAAGCAAAGAATTGACAACTCAAAATGTTCGGCTTTCAAGAAAAGTTGTAAAGCAAGCCGACGATCCCCGCAGGATGGATGGGATCTGCGGATTGAGCATAATGAATCGGGCTCCGATCCATTATGCTCCCCAATCCACATATCCCATCCATCCTGCGGGGATCGTCGGCTTGCTTTACAACTTACCTTTTCGTGGGGCGGGTCCGGTGTCACCCGGTACGGAGCGCACCCCCCACCCCCACCCCCACACCTGCCTCGGGACGCCACTGATCTCCTCCATAGCTTCTGTTGGCGATACTCGGTCTGCTTCTTTTTATACGTGAAGAACATTTCGGATCGATTCTTTAAGTTGCTAATTTTGTTCTGTTGCTTTCGTTACGAAATTCATTTCATTTCGTTTATTCGTTGTCAACCCATTTTTCCCAACGGGTTCGAAGTATTCGAATCGAATTCGAGTCGAAAATATCAAATCAACCTGAATTCCTTGTGATAAATAGCTGGTTCTATCCCATTCGAAATGTGAGTTTTGGAAGACGGCTATATTCATTCTATTTTATTCTGTTCTAGGCTAATCTATTTTTTTTTTCTATTCTATTCCTTTATTTTGCTTTTTTTTTTTTGTTTTCTATTCTATTTTTCTCTGTTCTATTCTGTTCTGTTTTATTATTTTTTTTCTATTTTTTTTCCTATTCTGTTCCTTTTTTTTGTTTACTTTTTGTTTTCTATTCTGTTTTTCCTCTGTTCTATTCTATTTTTTATTCTATTCGTTTTGAAAGTAGAATTTTGGAAGACGGCTATATTCATTCTATTTTTCTCTGTTCTATTCTGTTCTGTTTTTATTATTTTATTCTATTTTTTTCCTATTCTGTTCCTTTATTTTGTTTACTTTTTGTTTTCTATTCTGTTTTTCCTCTGTTCTATTCTATTTTTTTATTCTATTCGTTTTGAAAGTAGAATTTTGGAAGACGGCTATATTCATTCTATTTTATTCTGTTCTACGCTAATCTATTTTTTTACTATTCTATTCCTTTATTTTGTTTACTTTTTTTCTATTCTATTTTTCTTTGTTCTATTTTTTATTCTATTCTTTTTGAAAGTAGAATTTTGGAAGACGGCTATATTCTTTCTATTTGATTTTTTTCATCTCTATTCTTTTCTTTTTCTATTCTTTTATATTCTGTTCTTTATTTTCTATTCTGTTCTCTTTTATTCCATTCTTTTCGAAACTTTTTTTTAGAAGATGACTGTACTTTTCTATTTTATTCTATCCTTTTTTTTTTTTTTTTCTATTTTGTTTTCCTTTTCTATTACCTATTCTATTCCATTCTATTTTCTGTTTTTATTTTCTAATCTACTCTTTTATTCTGTTTTATTGTATCCTATTCTTTTCGAAATTCAAATTTCTGAAGACGGATATAGACTTTCTATTTTATTCTATTCTCTTTTATTCTATTTTATTTTCTGTTCTATTCTTTTTTTATTCTATTCTTTTTTCAAAATTCGAATTTCGAAAGTTGGCTATATTCTTTCTAATTTATTTTATTCTTTTTTTTTTCCCTATTCTTTTATTTTCTATTCTGTCCTTTTCTATTCTATTCCTTTTTTTTTTCTATTTTATTTTCTATTCTATAATTTTATATTCTATTCCTCTATTTTCTATTTTATTTCTTTTATTTTTTTATTCTCTAAAATTCTATTCTAATTTTTTTTTCTATTTTCTAATGTTTTATTTTATATTCTTGTTTCCTGTTTTATTCTATTCTATTTTCAAAAATGCCAATTTTGGAAGACGGCTATATTAACAATAATAAATCTTTGAAGGAAATCGACAACATGTTTACATTTCGAACTTGTTGTAGAATTTTTGAATTTGTTTCGAATTCAGATCGTTTGTTATTTAGGCCTGAAATTTTGTTTCGTTACTCCTGTAATTTCGGAAATTCAGATGCATCTGAATCTCTGAATAACGAAAATTTTGTCCGAATTTTAATTGGGAGCAAAACGAACCGCACGTCTACCTTCCAATAGAAAGTTATGGGGGGCACTACCACAGAGCCTTCGACTGGAGAAGCTGTGATGAGTACTTGTAGAGAGGAGCATCCTAGTTTTGGGGGTGTTTTGAGGGTAACAGTTACATGGGCTGGAGGAGCCTGGAGGAACATTCACCCTCACTGGGAAAAAGCTGCAGGAGGTGTGAGAAGCTGTGATGAGTACTTGCAGAGAGGAGCATCCTTGTTTTGGGGGTATTTTGAAGGCAACAGTTCCATGGGCTGGAGGGGCCTGGAGGAACATTCACCCTCACTGGGGCA